CCTTTTCAGTACCTTGTAGATCACACGGATCATATATGTAGCACTGGGGGAGATGGATCCAGACTATGTCCGCTCAGGATCCTGGGAGGCATGACACAAGGGTCCGATATTCCGAGCTGGCCGTCTGGTCTGCTGCAGGCTGTTCATTTTGCAGTGGCCTTTAGTCAGTGGCCATGCTACTGTGAGGCAGGACTGGGATAGCCAGTTTATGCACTGCTCAGTGTTCGAATGATTTAATAACTTATTTTCCACCCGCCATTTTTAAGTCAGTCCATTCAGTCTGGCACAGTGCCTTTTGGGATCAAGTCATTTCAGAAGAGAGTGCATCAAGTCTCTTTTGGCTGAAAAGATACATAGCAACAGATAACAGACATATGCAATTGTGGTAATGTTGTGACATTGTTGTGCACTGGGAAGAGGTTTGCTGGCTGTTAATGTTGTGGATGTCGTCAGCTTTCGGTTCGTTTTGGCTTTGTTGAAACAGAAGCCGAAGTAACTAAAGTGCTTTGTGTGGGTAAAATCTCCCATGAAAAGAGCAACAGAAGATTGTGTTTTGGTATACAGTCGGATTCATTCATGTCTGCAGCCCCAAAAGCTGTGGCTCACTGGGAGGGAACTTGTGGAAGAAAGGCTTTGGCAGCTTTCCTTGATGACACAAATGAGTTGGCTGTGCTGTTCTGCCAGATTACTCTAATAAACTTTTACTGAGAAAAAAATAAAGACTGTCGAGCCTTAGTCTAGGCTCCATGAGAGAGGGCTTGTTTTGGAAACCTGAAATGTTCCCCCTCGACTGTCTATGGAATAACACCCTGAAGGGAAGAAACTTGATCTGGATGACAGAGTCTGGCCTTGATGTGAGACTCACGCCCTGTGATCCCTCGAACCCTTGCTCTCGCCCCACCGATGACTTGGCAGGAGCAGCCCCCAGGGACCGTGACCTTCTGACCTCTGACCTTGGATTTGCAACACTTGAAGAACATAGTTGGAATTCATGCATAATCCCTGTGTTTTAATTTCTAACCATTTAATCTTTTGTGTGCTTTTTTTGCCCTTTATTTGTTTTTGAGGTGAAGAGAAAAATGACGCACATGAGGGGAGAGCGAGGGGGTGTGGGTATCTGTGAGGGATTCACAGAGAACCATGGCAAGCCAAATCTATGGATCAAATCTGTGCAGCATCTGCGCAGAGCATAAGAATAAGATAAGCCTCTTCCCAAACAGAATCTGTTGTACAGTGTGTGCAGATCATCACCCCAGTGTTCCAGGTGGAGATGTGAAACCTCCCTAGCCTACTCCCCCCTCTTCACACAACCAGATTTTTCTCTGGTCCACCTGGGCATCTGGACCACGGGCTCTTCTTCAGGGTCTCATTGTGTTTGATCCAGTTCATTGATTTACTTCTTTGGGAAACACAAAAAGGCATGCAGTACCCCCAAATCCCCCAAGCATAGTGATTTCCTGAGAGAGAGGACTTTTCTGTGTGATCTCATCACGAGTGCCGTGCCATCACTCAAAAACAAAAAGCATGACTGTGCAGTCTCACTGTGTTTTCAGTGGGAGTCTAAAAACACGGACAATAAAGAAACACTGGCACTGAACAGAGATGTCGCTGGAGTTCTCCCACCCTCGCCCACTTCAGAATTAGCATGGCGCATGAGCCCTAAAGCCCAGCCATCACACCGCGTCAGGGCTGCCATGTTTGCAGCTCAGGGGCACTGGCTGGCTCCGGGTTTTGCTTGTTGTGCTCCATGGTGCAGTTTCTGCATAAACATTTCATGCGCCCAGACCAAGGCTGACACAGACCGAAACCCAGTCTGGAGAGGAGGCTGGCTGCTGAGAAAATATGGCTTCCTTTTGCCATTCATTAGTGTTATTATAGATGAAAAGATTCCCTGTGTGGCTATAATTAGCGGCAAGTAGAGGACGCGTCCTGGCGACTGAGGCACCTTCATCACACACAGCTGTGCTCCTCTCGTTGCCCCTGGCAACAGAATGTTCACAGTTCTTCAGTGTTTTTCAAGAGCTTGATGACCAAAACATGCATGTGTGCAGCGATGCAGACATACACACATACACTTTTCATTTGCATTTCAAAATGTAACAAATGATGTAGGCTCAAATTCTTCTATAAAGCAAGGATAACAGTGCAGCCCATAATGATTTGGTTCTTAGGCAGAAACACAGAATAGACAGCGCATAATACTGGGACACTTAATTTTCAAGCTTGTTCTTCAATCAGAGGAGATTAAAATTCCAGAATTGTTTCTCAGTGAACAAGTTCAATGTCTCATGCATCCTCTGCTTGCTGCTAGTAGTGCATATATAATACTCACGTAGTCATTCCCATTCCTTATGTGGAATCAATATTACAAAGGCATTTATGTCTCTGTGGGAAATCATATGTTACTCACGCAGATGTGCTGCAGGCAGCTCAGTCGCTGTGCGTGAGTGTGCATTCTGCTGATGCACATGGTGTATCTAAGCATCCTAGAGGTGCTCTGTTTGGTTCAAGTCAGGTGACTTAAAGGTCAGGTCACACCTGGAATGATAACGGTAATTACAGCAATAAAAGAGCGTCCAGACGCCAACGCTCCTGCCGTCAGTATCCTAACAGCCTCTAAGCTTACACCTTCAGATGTCTCGTTTCATCCATGATAACTCTTTGTGCCGAAGGTCAGAGGTGCAGAAACATGTGACCAAGGCCAGGGTGACGCCCATGTTTGCATGTCTGTAGACCACTCCACCATGTATGGTGAGTTACAGATACGACAATGACAAAGATCAGTTTCTAGTTTGGTTTCACGAGTTAAATTTAACTAAGGGGAAGGAGATTATTTTGGTTTCACGAGTTAAATTTAACTAAGGGGAAGGAGATTATTTTCACTGATAATTTGTGAATATATACTCATGGGAAAGTATAGGGGCCAAAACCATTTCATGCTGTGCAATTCCAAGTTTGGGTTTTCTTCATTTGCCTTGTGGTAGCCTGAGTTGTGAGTCACTGTGTTGCAAGCTCCAGCATTAGCTCCTAAATGAATATGCAAACACCCTGCAAAGGCCCAGGACTCTGGAAAGCCTGTTGGGCTGCCGGGTGTCACTCAGAGACCGCGCGTGGCTGACACTTGTGTCGCGTACCCCCTTGTTGTGATATAAGTCAGTCTCTCTGATGCCTCTCCTCTCTAAACCCATAGACAAGAAGTGCACAGGCCTTTCACAAGGGGTCTCTATCACAGCCCATAAAGAAAGGCCCCCTTATGTGTGACACAGAGGCGGAAGATGGGAGAACCTTGGATCCAGGAATGAATGGAGAGCCTGTCGGCCCGCGTCCTCCTCCTCCTCTCTTCCTCCGTTGCCATCTCTTTCTCGCTCTCTCCATCCCTCCAAGAGCAGCTGCTGTTAGTGCGTGAGTCAGTATCGTCACCCTCGTTAATCAGCTAATTAAGAGCCTGTCTTATCGCTCTGAGGAGTGAGCGCCGCTCCCAAGGGGGAATGCGTGCCCACCTCCTCCCATCCGTCCGGAAACGAAGCGGTGTTAAATGAAGATGTCTCAGGGACAGACGGGCACTTCCAAAACTCCCTGCTTTGACGTACTCATCATGATCATGACTGCGCTCTCCAAACAAACCCAAATGGTGACAGGATCTGGGCCTTGACGTCTGTTCCCGTGGTGATGCAAACACTCCCAGTATAGGCGAGTTGTGGGGAAGCTGGCCGATGCTTCTCACAAAAACATGTACAGAAATGCAGCAAATGCACAAAAAAAACAATTTATTTTTAAAAACCAGCAAATGTCCCGCCTCCACTTTCCAGCTACACACCTTTATTTAACCATCCCTATTTAGTCAGGTGAAGCTCATCAAGTAATAGCTTGTCAACTACAATTAAGACAGACAATGGCAATTACAATCACAGACAATTAAACAATGAACCTGTTTGGAATACAGTTCATATGAATGAGCTCCAACATTGAAGAGTGGCAAATGGAAAGACATGGATCATTTAGGCATTTAAGCATCTAACAAATAATTTAAAAAATTAAAACAACCAGTTCTGGGGGACAAGCGAAGCCTCTCCTTAACAAAAGTGTAACTCAATCTGACAGCGCATGTCAAACCCGAGCTCCACGAGACACACAGAGACAGTCCATAAAGCACAAGGGCATGGTAATATGGTCACTTTACAGTCAGCTTTTTTTAAAACGGATACTCGCTGTGGCCTTCCAGCGTAGCGCGACACGGTGAACAAGAACGCTGCGGTAATGCTCCAGCGATCCTTCAGCTTGACCTTGTTTGGAAACTGGCACAACACCGACCACATGAAAAGTTAATGCGCTAAATCGTAAATCGTAAGCTGGCAACTCTCATGCATAATTTAGGTGAATATGTCCGGCTTTCATCTAGGGGCCTGCATTTGATAAACGCTGATTAAATATGACTCCCATTAGTCCCCTAGTCAGCCTGAACGAGAGGACCCTTCCTACATGTGGTTACCACAAGGTGAGGATGGGGGGGAGGCACTGGAGTGCCTGGAAGATTCAGTAAACAGAGGAAGAGTTGTGGTTGTCATGTGATCTTTGAGAGACAGTCTGATCTTCCAGGTGGCTGAGAAATGATGTAAAACAAAAAGCATGCACTCTAAGTGTGTAGATTTTACACAGAACCAAGTGTGGTAAATGACAGCGCTGGAAGGGGAAAATAGACGGAAGCTGACATTTTAGGCATGTTTTCATTTCCCCATTTTTTTTTGCATAGTATGGATGTTTCTGAGAGTTTTGAGATGATAATATTGAGGTGTACGTTCTGGACACACCCCCATCTGGAGCAGCAGGTGGGATGAGCAAAGAGTGTGGGAAAAATAGTGAGTGTTACATTACATTATTGGCATTTAGCATGCAGTCTTATCCAGAGCTACTTACATCGGTTTTTACAATGTTGTCCATTTATACAGGTAGGTGTTTCCTGAGGTAATTGTGTGTTAAGTACTTTGCCTAAGGGTACAGCAGTGCACCAGCAGGAATTGAACTAGCAACCTTTTAGTTACAAGTCTGGCTCCTTAACCACTATGCTATGCTGCCGCCCCACAATGCAGCTCTCCTCACGTTTCACTCTTGCCCCGTACCACTCCAAGAGGTCATCTGAAAGCAGGCGTGTGGGATCTCAGACATGCCGGCCTGTCTCACATCCCATGGTTATTTTAGCCGTTTACACACTGAGGCTGTGGAGCTGTGGACCAACGGTCAGGAAGGGTCAGGGCGTGGCTGGAATTACAGGTGAGATCCGACTTTATCTGAATAACTCTCCTGAATTACCTACAGTAATAAATAAATAAATAAATAAATAAAAATTGTAAATGTGGCAGTGCTATGCATAATGTAAGAGATTCAAGTCACCTTGGATGAGGGTATCTTGCTGAGAAAATAAATAATGAAAAAAGGTATAAAAAAAGCAGATTTTAAAGCATCATTAGCTGGTGCTGGTGCTCTTGTCACAACAGGAAATGAATGTCATGACCTTAAAGAGCTTTACCCAACCCTGCATTCCCTAAAGCAGAGCATTTCTCAGATACCTCTGCACTGGTGTTCATTTCCCTCATACTCCACATCCAGAGCCTGTAATGTGATATATGATACAATATGAGTGGCGCACAAAAGGTGAAAAAGAGGCAGGCAGACTAGAAGTGAGAAGGTAAACACTGTGGGAGTGTGTGTGTGTGTATGTATGATTGTGTGTGTGCTCATGCGTTTGGTGTCTGGCAGCCAGTCTGACTGTCTGCAGGAAAGTAAGAGATGAGGCCAGATGTTAGCTGTGCCCTGCAGCTGTGCCACTCTGATCTCTGCTCCCGGACTGGAGCTGGCAGCCCCCCCCCTCCCAAACTCTCTCTTGCTCACTGTCCCTGGAGCAACACAGTAAGTCATAGCACTCTCCCACATCTTTTCTCTTTGATTTCACTTTCTTTTTTTTTCAATCTGAACATCATTTGTAACTTAGTCCACACTGTCTCTGACCACAAAGGCCGGCTCAGCACAGAGATGAGAGTGAGGTCTGGAATGCTCTTGTATGTCTCCCAGAGTTCTGACAGGGAGGGAGGAATGTGGAGCCAGTCTAGAGGGGGGGTGGGGGTGTCGGAGCTGGCTGTGATGTGGGTGATTAATTGTATGGAGCCCCGAGCGCCATACCGAAACAACGGGATCCAGTGTCTCCTTTGTGCAGACATGTCACCCCTGCCACTTCCTCTCGTCCCCCACCATCATCGAGAGGCCTTTTCTTCAGGGGACCCTGACACTGCCTGAGGCCCTTGTTCTAATGTAGACCCCAACGCTGTGGAAAACCGTGGTTCTAATGGAGACCCGGAAGCTATGGGAAGCCCTGGTTGTAATGGAGACCTTGACACTGTGTAAGGCCCTGGTTCTATTGGAAACCCTGGCACTGTGGAAGGCCCTGGTTCTATTGGAAACCCTAGCTTTAACGGAGATCCTGGCTCAGCTGTAGACTTTGGCTCTGGTCCTTCCAGCAACGTGGCTTTGAGCCAAGGGAGTGGAGTGGTGGTGGTATACTGGTGTACTGGTTGTACATGGTATTGTCCAAATTAAGCTGAGTCAGTTGGACCTCTGATGTTTACTTGTCCTGCTGAATATATGTTGGAAGCATCCAGGCACCCTTCCCTCAACCCCAAAGAAAAGAAAATCACCTAATTATACAATGCAGTCTATTTGTATGGAAAATCAATCATTTTTCAATTTGCCATCAAAAATAAGCACTGTTGTATTAGAAAAATAAAGGGCACATTGTAGTTAATGTGGGAGTAAGGAGTGTTCTCACCTAGAATTGCACATGCTTCTTCACAGAGGATCATGGACATTTTCTTTCTTTTTTGCTGAGTTGTGTTTTATAAACCAGCATAAGTGCATCCATCACAGTGCTCTCCTGTCAGCCTCTAGCTCCTCTCAAATATCAATCGCTTTGTCTCTTGTCAGATTTTAACAGAGTTTCTCTCCACTTTAAAATTTTATCCATAAGGTCTATATTAACTTGGTATTAAAAAAGCAAACAATGAAAATATGAAGCTGAGATCTAAGACACCATGGCAGTGTGCAGCTCACTGGAAACCTAGCAGTTTACACAATGCTCAGACATTCACAGTATTCTCCCTGTTTATTTCCACAGGCTTTGCCACCACAGATCCTGTGTGTATTGACCAGATATTCAGATCAGTCATCACACTGAAAGTTCAGTCTCCACCATTGTTGAAACTGTAAGTTTTCTGATTTGCGGGCAAGTGATGCACATTCTTGAAGGGGCGTGGTTTAAAGCAGGACATCCATAGCTAGCGTATAAATGCATACAGTGCCTGAACCTTCTGCTATCAACCGAAACCTCCTAGATGCAGCACGGAAGGAAAGGATCAGCTGAATATCTGGCCATAATGTAGAATATTTATGCTTCTGCACTGCCTGTATTGTGTCTCCTGCAGCTGACAACAGGGCTGTGCTAAAATGTACGGTCAGGCAGCACCTGGCTATGAGGCAAGGGAAACTCTGCTGAGGCAACAAGGGGGCCATCTGCATGAACTCTCCAGGCAGCCCCAAACCGGCTCGGACCAGATCCTGCAAGGGCTCCAGTCTAAAACCAAGTCATTAGGCTGGGTGATTTATACTCCCCCCAGCCTCCTCCACCCCAAACCCTGTTCATTTGTTCTGTTTGTCAGTGTCTTGGTGATAAAGACAGTGAACACAAGGCCTGGCCATTGCCCAGTCTCTTCCCCATTCAGTCCAGATTCCAGGGTGACTCATTAGCACAGGGACATTGTCCTCTTCACCTGATAATTCATAAATCTGTGATCGTTTGTGTGTGTGTGTGTGTGTGTGTGTGTGTGTGAGATTGTGTGTGCATGCATATGCAAGTATGGTTTTGCATACATGTGTGTGATTGTGTGTATGTGTGTGTATGTACATGTGTATGTGTGAATGCGTATGAATGTGTATGCATGCATTTGAGTGTATGTGTGTGTGCGCGTGGGTACATGTGTATGTGTGAATGTGTATCAATGTGTTTGCACGCATTTGTTCATGTGTAAAACATCTTCAAAGTAAAGTTTATCTAAGGTGTTCCTTTCTCACAGGGAAAGTGTCTGGCTGTGGTCGGGTAGCTCTGAGTGATATGTGTGGCTGTAGGTCGTGTGTAAGTGGCAGGTGATTTTCAGAGGGCGGGGCCATGGGAAGGGGGGCATTAATGCACTGCAGCCAGGAGAGCAGAGTGGCATCAATTACATGGAGTGCTGAACTGTGAAATTATTGCTCAGTGGAGTCACCTGCATGCAACACAGTGAGAGACGGACCTGAAGGAACCAAGGCTTTTATACTCATCTAGCCCAGTGGCTGCTTGTTTTTGCAGTGTGATGATGCCATTGTTTGCCACTTTTACCCCTGGATTCAATCAACATGACCTTAACTTTGAGTTAGAAATACACACAAGGGTTTCTTCAAACAGACTTTTCCATTTTTTTTTCTTGTTGATGATTGAACTCACCAAGCTGGGTTTGTACTGGAAGAAAAGGAACTCCTGCATTTAGCTGTCAGTTAAAGTTACAGGGAAATGTTGATTGAATCCAGGGGCATTTCTTTGATTCTGCAGACCTCCCTGGTGATTCTGCTGCGGAGTCCCTCTGTGGCCTGCTCATTCTGTAAGGCCTAACTGCAGCAGTGAGGGGGTCAGAGAGTGATCCAAAACTCCAGACCAGGCTGGACTAACGAGGTGGTTGTGTGTTCCACTTCCTCCTGGTACAGGGATGATGTGGTCTACTTTTGCCTGACTGGCTTGAGGAGAGAAATCTAAAGCTGTTCTGAGTCACATATTTCAAGCGAACAAGGCTTTCATTCACACATCTGCACTGTTAGTTGATAAACTGTTTAAACAAATTAAATAAAGTGCAGAATAAGATGAATACGTTTTCAGAAACAAACAATTCACCTTCATGTTTTCAACAGGAAAAGGCAGAGGACACAGGTTTTATGTTGTGGTCTTCTTTTCTCAGATTTTTTGGCACTTTTTAAAAGCAGTTGTTCTTTTTTCTTTGTCATTATTGTGATAATTGTGATTATTGTGATATTGTGATACTGCTTGCTATCAATCCTTTCAGAACAAATCTGGTCTTGTTTACATACCCATCTGGGAGAAGTGCTGTCGGGGGGGGGTCTAGTGGTCGAGTACCACCTGCACCATTCCTGTGACCTGACTCCGCCCACTGCCCCCCACAGCGTGGCCATTTCTGTGGAGAGCTTGTGCCCCCACCCCCTCTTTTTTGTGCTACTTGTCTGCAAGTCAGCTTTGCCACATGTCAGTCAGCGTTCCCTCGCCAAGTGCCGCATTGTTCCGAAGCGTGCTTTTCCAGCTCCTTTTCTAGTTCTGTTAGGGGAGCACTGCTGCCCAGACACCCGCCCTCCCCTCAGATCCCCACCCCCCTTCACCATGAGTGACACCGGCAGGTGCTTGTTTCTGTGGTGAAACACAAGGCCGTAAAAAAGCCAGTTAGAGTCAACAGTGTGGCGTTTTGTTCTCCATTTGAGGCCCTTTTAGAGTGCCATTTGTGGCCCGGGTCACCGCTGTGTTTGGAGGCCAGCGGGGGCTGTGCCTCCACCTCTCCCCGTTCCCTTCTGCTGTTCGTCAGGGCTGCTGTTTTAAATGGAGAGCGGGGCCGAGCCAATCAGGCGATTTACATAGCTCCCACCTGGCGCCGCGCCAAGGCACATCTGAGCCGGCGGAGCTGAGCCGGCTGCCGGGCCGCTCTGTCAGGCACCGATGGGATTATTCATGGACCCTAATGACTGTGGGCAGGTACTGCATGCGCCCCACCCCCACACTGTCGCTCACTGCTCTCTCTCCTGTGTCGGGGGCTTGGGAGTGGTGCTGAGCAGGGTGGGCTTGAATTTAAAAGCCTCTGTGTGTGTGTATGTGTGTGTGTGTGTATGTTTGTGTCTTAAAAAGTAAAACCTGTAATATTCAAAAGTTGTTTGTATTTTCATAGGTTTATGCACCCCCCTCCCCCAACCTGTAAAAGTGACAGTGATGGTGATTGTCT